TACCGAATCAACCTCAGTTGTTTTCAATCACAAGTTTCAAACCGTTGCTTGTTTGCAAGGGGGGCCAAGGTTCCCAGCGGCTTTATGCTGGCTGACATTTACCTCTACATGGACCTCATCACCAAGGGCAAGCTGCTGATTCCCAAACAACGTGAAACAAAAATTGATGTTGCGGCCAAGGAGGCCGTCAAGACCAAGAAGTTGTTTCAGGGGATCAGGTATTTGTGGCGGTCCAACGAAACTGGCAACGACCCCAAGATGACGCAGCTGAAGCAAATTCTTAGGAGGTCGCCGAAAAAAGGGAAATCTCAGGACCCTGTGTCTGACAGCCGTGTTTCCCAGCGGGTTCCTTCGCCCTTTCTAGGACAGAGATGGCCATGATCTTGAAGAGCCGCAGGAGGAGTTTTTTGTTTTCAAAAACAAGCCAAACCTTGAAGTGTCTTGCAATTAGGTGTGGAACTATTGGTTTCTTGCTCCTTCGGCCCGGACCCTTCTGGCGTGAGCCATGTTCCCGCGCACGCCTGCGAGGAGGACGCGGGCGGTGATGATGAGGACACCTTGCCGCTGCCTGGCGTCCAGGCAATGCTTTTCTTTCCGCAAAAACTTTACCGGCCTGTGTGTCAGGAAGATGCTGACCAAGCTAGCCCAGCCCCAGAAACCCCGAAAAGGAGTCTTGCTTCAGACACTTCTTTCACGCGTTAGGCCCAACACGTTTCTCAAGACTCAGCTGCGACGCATGCACAGTCACATTGAGGATTGAGGGGGTGTGATTCTCCTCCCACACACTGCTTCGCTTGCAAGGACACTCGAGAAAAAGACGGACGAGACATGGATGAGACACCGCCCTTGCCAGCTCACAAGCGTCTCCAAGAACAGGCGTGCTAAAACATGCTAGGTGTAAATGTCTGTGTGCGCGCGTGCGCGCAAGCAGGACGGTGACAGTGACAGCTACAACGACTGCGTGGAGGCGTGCGTTTCTCTTGACGGCGTGGCGCTTGCAACCTTGTTAGGACACCCCTGTGCCTTCTGACTTTGTCCAACACATCCAGGACCTGGAGGCCCGCCCTGTGTCACGCTCTGCTCTTGGCTTGCTTTTTTTTTGCAGGAAGCCTGCGCGGATGGGTCGGACAAGGTAGTGCTTGCCAGCACTCGCAAAAGCGCGCTAGCGCCCATGCCCAGGAAACGGAGCCGTCTCTTGAAAAGAGCCCAGCGGAGGACTTTGCACCCACTTCGCTGCCTGCGCAATCAACCCAACCTGCAGGACAGCCAACGTCTTTCCGATGATGACCAGGCGAAGGTTTGGCTTCGTGGCCTTGTGTCTTTCGCATTCGGGTGCGCACGCCTTGCAGGAGCACGATCAACAGAGCGAGTGTGAGCAAGTTGAGGAGATGCGCGTGTGTCGGCTTTGCTTTGCTGAAGCCTGACCTCAGGATTCCCAGCGCAGTGACATTGAACGCCGCGAGGCCCACCGCTTGCTGCCTCCACATCTCTCACCTGTCAGTCTTTCAAACCGCGCAGGAGTCTCCGTGCGCCTCTGAGAGCAAAACCTCTGTGGAGGACCGCCCTTGCCGTTTGCTTCTTGCTGCTCGCTGCGAACAGGGCTCAGCAGGGTGACGCGAACGAGTGGGTGCCAAAGTCGCAAACGCTCGGCATTGTGAAATATGTGTGTAACATGTCAGGTTGACAAAACATAAAACGGGTAACTTGAGCTGTGTGATTCATACTTGGGCCATTTACGGCCCGAAGTCCGAAAAGAAACATTGGCCGTAAATGCCGATTGTTGTATGAGCAATTCAGTCAAGAGGTTTCTTTGGCTCAAGCGCGACAAGGACAACTTGTTTTGCTCTGAACTCATGTTCTTCTTGAGTGCGGTAGGACCCTGACTCTGGCTCCGAGCTTGCCCAGGAAAACGTTCTTTTGGTTGTGGCTGCTGAGCGCGCGCATGCCAGGACTCGCGACGCGGGAGCTGTGACGAGGCTGACGAGGACTGAAGCATGTTTTGCTTGCTTCTTTGGCGCGCTAAAAGAAAGTGCTCCCCAGGACCCGTGCTCTGACAGCGACCGGGAGCTGACCCAGGACAGCGCCCGTGTGTGAGTGTGTCTTAGCTTGTGGGGGTGGACGTGCAGCAGGAGGATTCGCAGTTTGAGGGTGTTGGCGAGTTTTCGAAGGACTGCTTGTTGCATTGTTTCTTTCCCTGTTGTTTGGGCGCGAGCCTGGCAGGATTGCGACCAAGGTGAGAGGAGTGAGGGAGACGCGCTTCTTGCTGAGGCCGCTGCAGAGCTTGTTTTGCTAATTCTTTGCCGGCTGAGCAGGACTCTCAGCTGGAGACGGACCACAGAAACCAGGTTCAGGACCTGACCCACCAAGCGCGCCTCCTTGCGCTTAGCAGTGGCAGGACTTTTTAGACAGCAAGGCCGACCCCGCGAAGGAGCTTGCAGATTGCCCAAATCAAACTTTGCTGCGCTCGCTTGCCTCTTGTCGGCAGGACCTCCAAGATTGCAAACTCAATGGGCATCTCGAAACGTGCTTGGAGCAAGACGAGGCCTGCCCTTCCCTTGAACTCCCCTTGCCTGGCCTATCACAGCTCTGCAGGCGCACGCAGATGAAGACATCCTGGACGTGGCCTTCGAGCGCGCAAAGGCAGTGGCCGCGCCCAAGAGTTGGGAAGTCGCTAAAAAGCTGCTTGAGGATCATGTTGACACCCCTGGTGTTCAAAGTGTGCCTCGCAAGCAATAGAACTTACCTTTGTCCTTAAAAATGTCTTCGAAAAGGAAGTTCGCCCTACAAGGGACATTGCCCACGCTTCAGGGGGAAGGGCAGGAAACCTTGGTTGAGAAGCATGCCAATCTTAGGCGAAGCAGGAGCGCAAAAAGAAGAAGAAAGGGTGCAAGAGAAACAAGAACAAGAAGAGCAAGAAGCGGGCGATTCTCAAGAAAGTCGAGGATGAGAGCAAGAAAGTCAACAAGCAGAAGAAGAAGCGAGTTTCAACCAAGCCGGCTGACAGCAACAAGCCAGCAAAAAAACGCAGCAGTGAGGAGGCCAACAGCCCGTGGATCTGGCAAGGGCATGACTTGCAAGCCCTTGGCTTCCCGGAACAAGCGTGGCCAACCGCAGAAAAAACCTCTGGCACAAAGAGCTTCACCTTGGTTTGCAGCCAAACCTCTGCCGCGCCTTGGCAAAAAGCAAAGGTCACATTTTGGCATGTTTTTGGCATGTAGTTCGCACTTGCGTGTTTTCGAGGCGATCGAAGCAATTTTTTCCCGGCGCGCCTTCCTGGTCAAGCGCTTTGCGACGGGCATCGCGCCTGTCAAGGGGTCTCCCAAGCAGTTCTCGTGGGCGAAGTATGAGGGGGCTGGGGCCGCGTGGGTTGCCGCTGCAAAGGCGGCTGGGTTTGAGGCTCAACACGCAAGTTCGCCATAGAGGCTGATGAGCGCTGTAAGTAGGATTCTAGGGGGCGCCGTGCAACCTGTGTAGCAGGGAACCAGTGAACATCACTGATGGGAGCTCACAGTTGCGCAGTCAAACTCAAGAGGTGCGGCAAAAGGCTTGCTTGCTGTTTGCTCACTGTTGCCAATGTTTGAACCCTCACGTTGTGTGGACTGCAAGGTGCTTTCGAATCAGGGGCTACGTGGCTCCTCAGGCTTTGTTTTTTCAAAGAAAGAAACGGCTTTTTGCTGGCGCGTGAGGCGGGTGTGCATGGAGCCATCTACAACCTTGGAGGCCTGCCCGGATTCGGGGTCAAGTTGCTAGCCCTTCTTGCTGAAAGGCGTACTAGCTTGGTGGAAACCCTCGTCAAGGGTCAAAAGCTTTGGGGCGACAAGTTCGAAATGTCCGAAAACATTCTTGTTGGGGCGCAACAGTCTTGGAGCAGTAAAGTTCGAAACGCCTGACCCCAAACAAGCGCAGTGCAAAAGCAGTAGTGGAACACTTGATAAGGAGCTTGAAGTGAAGCTCAGCACGTCAGCAATTTGCCTTTTTGAGATCGCGCAAGAGTTGAGGGTCCACCCAATGCCTTGGTTTTCGGCACACCTGCCATCACGCAATGCGGCGCTAGGAAAAATAAAGCATCACCTCCATCTGAAAACAATGCTCGTTTTTTTTTCGACCCGAACAAACAGATGAGTTGACAGGGTTTCCACAGTTTCCACTCCACCCTCGCCGCCGCGTCAGTTGTCTTTGCCTTGGAAGGTTGCCTGTCACCGTGCCTTTTTTGTGGGCGGCCATGGACGCTGCTTCAAAACCCGGAAAGAAAGCCCTGAAGAAGAACATGCCGTTTAAGCCGGATGGGCCCTGCGCCGAACCTTCTGCAGCATCCGACGCCTGGAAGACCAGGCACAAGGTCGCGGTCATGGCTGGCCTCAAAGCGTTGCGTGCTCCGGCTGATGCTTGGCAAGAATGGCAATCCGAAACAATGGTGCCTTAACAAATTTGGATTGTCTAACAAGTGGGGGCATCCTATAGAGCCAACGGAACAAGAGTTGACGCAAATCATGAATTTAGGTTCCCGTTTTTCCATAGAAACAAGGGAACCTATTTCGGCTACTGCGTTGGACACAAACTTCACCTCTCGCCGCGCCAGCTGAATAAGAGTTGCGTGATGCAAATCATGAGTTTAGGTTCCCTTTTTTTCATAGAAACAAAGGAACCCATTTCGGCTAACGCGTTGGACACAAACTTCACGTCCACCACAAAGCAGGCAAAATCTGCGCACGCCTTATGTCCACCACAAGGCAAGTAAAAATCAGCGTGCGGCAAATGTCCACCACAAAGCAGGCAAAATCTGCGTCCACGACAGAGCAGGCAAAATCTGCGCGCACCTTATGTCCACCGCAAGGCAGGTAAAAATCAGCGTGCGACAAATGTCCACCACAAAGCGGGCAAAATCTGTTATGTCCACCGCAAAGCAGGCAAAATCCGCACCTTATGTCCACCACAAAGCAGGCAAAATCTGCGCGCGCCTTATGTCCACCGCAAGGCAGGTAGAAATCAGCGTGCGACAAATGTCCACCACAAAGCAGGCAAAATCTGCGTCCGCGACAGAGCAGGCAAAATCTGCGCGCGCCTTATATCCACGCGCACCTTATGTCAGCCACAAAGCAGGCAAAATCTCTTATGTCCACCACAAAGCAGGCAAAATCCGCACCTTATGTCCACCACAAAGCAGGCGAAATCTGCGCGCACCTTATGTCCACCACAAAGCAATAACTGTTTTCCATTTTCTGGAAAGAAGAACTTCTTTCGGCCAACGTGTTGGACACAAACTTCACCTCCTTCCTCCAACGGACACCAGCTGTGAGTTTGGCAAAAACATTCAGTTGCTGGTTGAGGTGATCGCCCTTCTGGCGACGCTTGTGTTTTCCTGCCCGAACTTGGACTGGAGCCCGATCGACCACCTGGAGACGTTCGCCGGGCAGTGCGCCGTGACAAAGGCAGAATGGCAGGCGCAAGTGTGTAAGGTCGTCGCAAAGTCGTTTTTGTTTGGCGCGCAAACATGGCAAGTTCATTGCAGCAGCTCGGAAACAACCTTGTACCTGGTGCGCAGGCTGGACGCAAGGCGGTCCCTTTCGAGATCTTGGTGGGGGGCGATTGCATGGACTTCTGCTCTCCGGCGGGCTTCGCCAACGCAGTGTACCAGACACTGCGAACCTCTCCTGGGGGAGGGGCGCTTCACGCGCCCGTTTGCAGCACTTGGGTGTTCATGTCGAGGGGATCGACTCTCAGGTCGCCCACAAGGCCACTTGGCCGCGGCGACAGCCAGAAAGTGGCCGACGGCAATCTGCACGTGGCTCGCTGCGCGGTGCTTTGCATTCTCGCTGCTGCCAAGGGCATCTTCTGGCTTCTGGAGCAGCCGTCGACTTCGATCATGGAGACCCACCCATCCTTCCAGAAGATGCTCAAGATTCTACACGTGCGGAAGCTCATCTTCGACATGAAGGACTTCGGAGCAAACACCCAGAAGCGGACCATACTGTACAGCAGCGCCCTGCCTTTGTTTGTAAACCATCCAGTTTCAACACCCCTCATCACAGACACAAAAACAGTTTCTCGTCTGTGGCCCAGGCCACGAAGAGGTGGACGACCTCCTGCTGCACAAGCATCCTCGCAAGCGGTGCCACTCAAAGGAGATGGTTATCCGCTACACGGACTCCAGTGGAAAATCGCGTTGCAAAGGAGGACGGGATCTCAAAATGAGCCAGACCTATCCTCGGGAGCGCCTTGCCTAAAACCGTGCGCCACTCATCATCTACTTATTTGTTGTTGAGGGAGTCTTGTGACTAAGCCCTTTTTCTTGATGTTTGTGATGCCCTTGAAAGCTTAGGGGGCCGCTCCCCTTTGTCCACAACTTATGACTCAAATTTCGGGCTCCGGCCACTCGAAAAAAGCATATTCAAAACACGGGGGCTGGGGCTGTGGCCCAAGTTGTTTCCAGGCAGAAGCTTTGTTTTGTTGCTCACACAACAGCAAGCCCCTTTTTGAGTGTTGTGCTCCCTCCTTTTGTGAAATCTTAGGGGCCGTTTGGCGGGGTTCCCTTTTTCAATCTGCGCCCAACTTGGGCTTTGGCCCAAGTTGTTACAAGGCAATACGCCTTGCCCCCTTGTGCGCAGCCGCGCGCAATAAAATCAAAACTATTTAAACCGAGCACCTTTCCAAGTCGGGCGTCTTCTTGAGCGTGCTCCTTTCGCCCCTCAAATCTTAGGGGGGCGTTTGGCAGGGTCCAGTTTTCCAACTGTGGCTCAAACTGCTTCAAGGTGGCCCTTTTTGAGTTCGGGTCTCTAACCGCTCGCAAAAACACAAGATTATTCAAACCGTGTGCCTTTCTATATTGCGCTCTTTTGTGAGCCTCTCCCTTTGCCCTTTTTCCCACTGTGCCCGACTTGGGCCGCTCGCAAAAAAAAAGAAAGAGGATTGCTACAGGAGAACAACCAAAGCTTTTTGGAGGACGTATCCTTGTGAGCTTGTTCAAGCTTAGAGACTGCAAGCAGTTGTATCACCAAAGCACTCTCCTCTCAAAACAGGATGTGTCCTTCTCTGAGTTGGTTTCCCTCTTTTTCACAGACCGTGGCCTCTCAGGTTTGGGCACGCCCTGTCAGCTGTCCGCACCAAGAACTTGAAGAAAATCAAAGCCAAGGCGAAGAAGTTCCTGCGAGACGCCAAGGTGAAGGGTGGCGAAGTTGACAGGAACCGACGCTCCAACGCCCACTGGGTCAAGCATGCCAAGCTGATGCCAGTGTTTGAGTATCTCGCCGGACGGTGAGGCTTTTCTTAGCTTATGATGTTCGCTCAAGCGAGAAATTCATGTGTGAACACGGTGCCTGGACTTAAGCCAGATTGGAAAGGACCAGTCAATTCCCACAAAGGTTTGGGTTGGGGTGGCTTGCCAAGGGCGCCGTGTTAGTGCCAATTGGGGTCGGCTTTGAGGTGAAAAGAAAGCTGGCTTTGCAGCCAAATCTTGACCAAACAAGTTGGCGCATGACCACACAAGTTGGCGCGCCCGTGGTGTTTTCACACCCCCTGGCGCCAGGCGAGATGCCGCGCCTTGCTCTTGGACACTTCGCAGGAGCGACCTGCCGCGGTTGGGCTCTAAATTCGGCCACGTTTTGTCGAGAATTCAGCAGCGATTTGTCGAGAACGGCAACGATTTGTAAAAGCCCGTCTAGTTTGTATGTCCTAAGTTGGGAACACCCTCACTCGAAAAATTGCGCAGGGGAAGGGTAGGGTTTCATCACGCCTGCTTCAACATTCGGCCACGATTTGTCGGCAATTCGGCACTGGTTTGTACCCCGACTCACATCGGCATCTACAGCCCAAGCTTGTGTGGCACTGCTATGCCGGTGTCTCTGAAGAAGAAGCCTGCGCACACCGAAGTCGCAAGCGGCAAGAAAAGAGCAAATCTGCAAGACCAGCAGAGGATCCGTGACCAGAAGGAGGCAGAGGGCAGGGGCAGCAATCCAAGCAGGAGCAAGGAGACAAGCTCAATGGAGGAAAGAAAAAGCAAGGAGACAGGTTCAGAAAACACTGAGAAGGCTGCAAAGACTGAGAGGCGCACAGGGCAGCAAAGCGCAGGCAAGGAGACAAGAAGGGAGGAGTGGAAAGCCAAAAAGACAAGTTCAGGAAAGGCTGAGAAGGCTGAACAGCGCAGTAGCAGCCCTACGCAGGCAAGCGAAAGCAAGGAAAGTTCTTCAAGAAGGGAGGGGCGCAAAAGCAAGGAGACAAGTTCAGGAAAGGCTGAGAAGGTTGAAAAGCACAGCAGCAGCCCTACGCGGCAAAGCGAAAGCAAGGAGACAACTTCAAGAAAGGAGGAGCGCGAAACAAAGGAAACAAGTTCAAAAAATGCTGAGAAGGCTGAAAGGCGCAGTAGCAGCCCTACGCAGCAAAGCAGAAGCAAGGAGACAAGAAGGGAGGAGTGGCAAGCCAACAAGACAAGTTCAGGAAAGGCTGAGAAGGCTGAACAGCGCAGTAGCAACCCTACGCAGGCAAGCGAAAGCAAGAAGAGTTCTTCAAGAAGGGAGGAGCGCAAAAGCAAGGAGACAAGTTCAGGAAAGGCTGAGAAGGCTGAAAGGCGCAGTAGCAGCCCCACGCAGCAAAGCAGAAGCAAGGACACAACTTCAAGAAGGGAGGAGCGCAAAAGCAAGGAAACAAGTTCGGGAAAGGCTGAGAAGGCTGAACAGCGCAGTAGCAGCCCTACGCAGGCAAGCGCAAGCAAGAAGAGTTCTTCAAGAAGGGAGGAGCGCAAAAGCAAGGAGACAAGTTCAGGAAAGGCTGAGAAGGCTGAAAGGCGCAGTAGCAGCCCCACGCAGCAAAGCAGAAGCAAGGACACAACTTCAAGAAGGGAGGAGCGCAAGAGCAAGGAGAAAAGTTCAGGAAAGGCTCGCAGCAGCAGCCCTACGCCGCAGAGCACACGCAGCAGCGTTATGACGCAAAGCAAAAGCAGGGAGTCCAGCGCAAGGAAGACCGACAAGCGCAGCAGCAGCCCTACGCAGCACAGCAAAAGCCCCGAGAAACAAAGCAAGAGCCGAGAGTCCAGCGCCAGCAAGACTGAGATGCGCAGCAGCAGCCCGACACATCGCAGCAAAAGCAGGGAGCGCAAGACAAGCGAGACCGAAAAGCGCAGCAGCAGCATCCCTACGCAGGAAAGCAAAGGCAAGGGTCAGAAGCGCCGCAGCTGCCTTCGGTGGCCAAGCAACAGCACGGGACCAAAGGAGAAAACCAGGAGTAGGAGCCCGACACAGCCAAGCAAGAGTGTTGCGGTAGTCCCTACCAAGAGTGGCAGACGCAGCAGCAGCCCTGCGCAAAGCGAAAAGGATAGTCAGCAAGGCAGTCGTAAGCAAGGCAGCTCAGCTGAGGCAGATGCAGCAACAGCAGCAGCGCGGGCAGAGCAGAGCAGCGGAGCAGAGAGGGGCAGGAGCCCTGTTCAAGAGAGCAAAAGAGCGGAGACTGACAAGGCGGCGCTCAGCAGAAAGACTAAGGCGCTTTGTCGGGCGCAAAGAAAAAAACGCGACCAGTTTTGGGCCCGGTTCATCACCAGAAAAAGAAAACCGCGCGCAGTTTGGGGCTTCCCTCAAAAACCGCGAAAACCAGAACCCCGAAGCCCGTCAGCAGAAGAACTTGGGCGTTTCTGGGAAAAGTTCAAACGAAATCGCGCGAAGGCAGCTGAGCAAGCAGAGGACTATGACAGCCAACCCTTGGAGCAGTGTGAGGACTTGGTTGGAGAGGAAGAGGAAAATTCAGAAGAAGCAGAGGATGGAGAGGAAGAGGCGCAGGAGGTAGACTGCGAATGCGAAGTGGAGGATGAAGCCGCAGAAGATCCAGAGGAAGAGGAGGAAGCAGAAGCGCTTGGAGGGCAAGATGATGAGGAAAGCAGCAGCGACTTCGAAGTAGCAGAGCCTGCGCAGAAGCCAAACCGTGCGCCAAAGCCTGGCGCGCAGAGCCTCGCAGTGGTGGTCGCCAAAGCTAACACTGACGTAAAGAAAGTCAGGAATAGTTGCTTGGTGTCAGTTTGCAACCGGTTTCATGTTCCCTTGCGTGTGTCCAGAAGTGTTTTCCACACTGACGCGTTCCGGTTGCCAGGCAAACAGAAACATAGTGGGATAGGTCTGTTTGCCTCAACTAAGGCAGCACAAACAAGGCAGAGTGGGAGGCGTTTAGCCGCGCCGTTGCAAACCGCAAGTCGTTTCCAACACAGCTAGCGCAACACGCTACCAAGAACAAGGTTGACCTCTTCAACGCTTGGCTTGACGCTGACCGATGCTGGAACCAGACCCAGCTCATCGTAGAGCGCAAGCGGAGCGTCAACAACATGTCCTCCTCTGGTTGGATTGCTTGCCAGGGCAAAACCCTCCGCCCGCATTACCCTGGTGACAAGTTTGACCAGTTGGTTCAAAAGCGGAAGTCTGCCGGTCTTTGGTATGACGATGCGGATTTCCCAGGGGATGTGGACGAAGCTTGGAGCGCATAGCTTCTACCAAAACAGGGTTAGCTTTTCACAAAGGGCTCCACTAAAAAGGGCTGTTTCCAAAACCCCCAAGCTAGGGTTGCCTGTTCTCTCAATCCACGGCTCCTTCAAAAATGTCAAAGCTTTGCCTTTCCTGCAACGTTGGGGTTCCTTATCAGTACTGTAGCTACTGGGCCCCTTTCTCAAACAGGGCTGCGTTCTTATAAGAGACGCGCTGAGGAGCAGTGGTTCTACATGCGGGCAGGGCGTGAGGTGAAGCGCACGGACGCGACAGTGGACGAAGCCACAATGAGTGGCAAGGCGGACCTTGACAGCGCCATGGTGAAAGCTTTGACAGACGAGGACGATGGGCTCATGGCAGCTGGCGCTTTGCCAGCCGTGCACGCGCAGGGCGGGCAGAAAGACATGCTGGAAGCCTTGCAGGCCCCGGGCGAGACGGTTGCAGTAGCGAAGAAAAAGCCCAAGCCAAAGGCGGAGAGCGGCGGTTCGGAGTTGGCGAAGCCCAAGTCGCCACAAGAGTTGCTTGCCATGAGCTTGTCGTGTTTTGCTACAGGGTTTTTGTCAGGCACCATGAGAAGTGTAGTTTCACAATGAACGTTTTGTTGAAGGCTTGCGGCAGCTCGCCTGGCTGACTTGCTGGTAGAGTCTACATCTGCCCGCAAGAAGAGCATGACGCTGGGAGCTACAGAGTTTGCAGGAGAGCTAGCTGCCCAACTCCTTAACCACGCGGAGACGCTTGAGAAGACCTACAAGGAGCTTCAGGCAGCTTTGGCCACCAACAACACGGACAAGGGCTTCTACACAAAGGTTTGCCGAACCTTAGACGAGAAGTGCGCGTGGTTTGTTACTGCGGAGGCGGGGGCGGGGTAGTGAGTTGCTTGGCATGTGGTTTGGTTTTTTGGCGTTTTCCAGTCTTGCGCGCTTGTGGTCAGGCGGCAGCTGATTCGATACTTGCTGGGCTGAAGCGTGCGGAGAAGAAGCGAAACAAGGACAAAGACGACAACGAAAAGGAGCCGCCTGCAAAGCGTACGAGCCGAGGCTAGGCGAGGAGGGCAAGCGCGATGTTGCATAAGGCAGCCATAAGGGCCAGCCGCGTTTTGATGGAGTGTGATGCTTGAGTTCAAAAGTGCGACGTTTTGCTTGAGACTCTCAACATTGCGTGTGATGTTTCACTTTCACTTGATGCGCTTGACTCTTCTTCAAGTTACTGTTGCTCTGACTCCGACTACGTGTTCAGGACACGTGCCAGCTGGCTTCGCCAGGCCACGGGCGCTTTGCAGCTTGCTTGAGCGTCAGCTTCTTGTTGGCAGGCCTATGAAGCGGGCGCGGGAGGAGGAGGAGGAGCGAGAGCAGGGCTCTCAAACTGTGGACAAATTGCTGGAGCTAGTTGGGCGCGGGCGCATCGACGTTACCTGCGCTACGGATGTGGCGCGCGCAGTGCTTGGCGACACTCCTGCAGACTGTGCAGCGCCACCCCTGCGTAAGATCACTAGGCTTGCCTCTCTCGGGTGCTCCGGAAGCCATCAACAAAACGCTGAGCGCGACTTATACAGGTGGCTGAAAAACAACTTTGACCTTCGCTTGCAAACGTATGAGATCGTGCTTGAGCTGCAGGCGCGTTGCGATTGCAAGCTTGATGCTGAGGAACCCTTCGTTGCGGTAAACACTTAGCTCCTGAAGCCCAACTTTGGTTGCCCAACTTAGACTTTCGCTTCCGCTAAATTCCCAAAGCCAGCCAAGCCTGAACCACAAGCCCTTGCAGGTGCGAGGCCTCTGCGCAGAGCGTGTTCCAGCCCATGTTC